AAGCCTACCACTGGTGACCCTCCACTTGGTGTCCGTTCCTATGCTGCTGCTATCATTAGAAATGAAATATTCTTTTTTGGAGGAGATTGCAATCATGATGACTGTCGTCATAATAGTTTATACAGGTGAGCATAATAGTTACTGATAAATATTACATAATATTTTATACAGTTTTAATATTGATACCTTCAATTGGAAGGAACTCTCTCCTACTACATCTCATCATGGTCCTATGAGGAAGTCCAGCTCCAGCATGATAGCAATAAAAGTGAATGACGAGGACTATCTTGTAGTAATTGGAGGGTGTGGACCATCTTTTAATAATACCCCACCACAACCTGGTGCCCAGTACAGTGGAAATAATCATTTTCAATGGTGCAATGAAGTACATATGTACAGATTAAAAACTGGTCAGTATAATATGATATTAGGTTTATTCACCCCAAAACAAAATGGCTGCCATGACTTTTGCAGCCTTGCTATACCGGTGTTGGAGGGTAGTTGGACCCCTGCTCTTTTTGGACTGGGGGTCCAAGCGCTCGCGAGTAGTTGGACCCCCCCTTCAGTGCGGTTGGACCCCCTGCCTGCCCAACGCTAATATGCACAGGCCGCACTTGTAGTATCTAAAATGCAGCTGTACTGCTATGAAAAGGCTTTGATTTGATTATGTAAATAATTGGAGCATGGAGAATATCCCTCACAAATAGATACTAAAGACAGTAAGAGAAATTGCAAGTAGATACAACTGATTGTAGTCCATGTGGCCAATTTATCAACGCATGCATGACTACTTTTACACAATTTTCAGGTATAGCTGAAGCATAGATACTTTAATTAAAGTATCTATGGCTGAAGTTAAGACTGAGAGCTTTATGCTCAAAAGAGATTCAGTGAATTTTCTAAATATTAGGAAATATCCCTTATTTTACCTCAAAGATTTGTTGATGGATTGAATATGACATGGTATAATGGCTTTAATATAATCATAAATTACCAACACTCAGTTTATACTATTATAGTTATTGTTTCTAGATAGCCAGATGAACTGTTGACCTACATCAATGGCATTGAAAGCAGTACACTATGTAAACCTGTTATAACAAATAGTCAATTTTTGACCTGTTACAATAATTAGTCTTTTTTTCTTAAACTCATTATTTGGCCAAAGTTAGTTTTTATTATAGATTCCTGCTGCTTTCAGCCGTTGTTGATGAAGATTTTGATAACCTGGAGGATGTAAAATCTACTGTTCAACTACACTGAATTACCTATAATAAATAAAATTTAATATTAACAAAATAATAATAATAATTATTATTATTATGAACTTAACAGTATAAGACAAATATAGGCAGAGACGAGAGAAAAAGGACAGAGGGTACTGAAGGACAGCAACAACTAATACTGCACAGCAAGCCTTATTATTATTATTATTATTATTAGAATTTAAAGGACTTAGACAGAATAAAGAGAATTAGAGAAACAGACAGCAGAGATGTCAACGGAGGGAAGAATAAAGGCCTGAAGGGATGTCATGACAGCCCATTGTCCTGATACCCATTCCCAGAAAAAAATTATATAAGACTCAAAAGTATTAATTAAGAGGGAGTAGTAACTGAAAGAAGTGGGTAGAGGACAACAACATACTATTAGAAACAGCATGAAAAGTGTGTTTAGTTACAGCAATTTGGTCTTGCCCTTTTTGTAATAAGTATCTATGGTTACAATTCAAAGCACTATGCTCATACAGCACTAAGTAACAGCAGTGTGGTATCTTGTTTTGCGATCATCCAACGGCAGAAAGGGGGTCCAAAGATTGAGGGGCAATGAGGGCGAGGGGTCCAAGGGAGTCCAAACACAGTGTCCAAGC